TGTAGCCGGCCATCCACAGTATGATAAAGCGACTGGCGGCAGCGTTCATCATTTTCTGAGAGATCTGCCGATATTCACGGCTCAGCGGTTTCAGCGCCGAAGTGGTGAATAACTTCCGCCGCGCCCTGTCTGCTATTCCTGGGTTAATTGATTTATAGTTCAAAGGAATGCATGGTTGTTCCTCGATATATTGTAGTTCCTCCATAAACCAGAGAAAACCAAATTATATAGGGTGTAGCACTTCCATGAATGTATGGGTTATTCGGATCCCAGTTGCCTTGGCTTTCGCAAAAGGACCTGTAGTTCTCAAAGAGGTCGTTCAACTTGTCATCTCGATGAGGCCCATCCGTGAGGTCCAACAACAGGCTCAAAACAATATCGGGTATTATCGCGAGGTGCGATAAGTGCATGATGTCCGGCAGGATCCCTGCATGGATTGAGTATACAGCATAGATGTTAAGCTATAAAAATTCAATAGATGCTTGCGAAGCACTCCACGGGGAGAATCCAACGATCTGCGTCAAAGGTGACGCGCCGTGGATTTCACGAAATCGGTCGCCGCCGTGTGCATCCAGCAACCTCGAATCAAGATTAAGTGAATTGGGTTTATATTAGGGTTAAGGGTTTAGGCACAGGGTTATTTGGGGATGTCAGGGTTTCGGGGGTTCATGGTACTTCTATGCATATCCATGGTGGTCTTGAATCTCAAAAGCCTTATTATAAGTCCCTGCTTGCCGCCACAACACGTTTCTCTGTGTTTGGTAGCACTGCCGAAATTCGTATACAACAGTTCCGGGTCATTTGGAAGGCCATCGGGATCGCCAAATTCATAGGTCCATTGCAGAGCCTCAGGTTGTAGGCCGGGCTACCAACTAGTCTCTTATGGCCGGAAGCTATACATGCAACCCAAAACACTTCGCAGTAAAAGCACATCATCTTGCGACCATAATCACCTGAAGTTGAGGCTTTGTTGGATCGGCCCCCTAGCCCCGATATACAAACCTTCTCATACTTAGAGGATCATGGGACTTAGTAAGTAGGTTATAATTGGGATTATAAGTCCCCTATACTGGGGTTACCCTAACTATAACCTACTTATAACCTTACTTACTAAGTCCCATGAGCCTTCAAGTAGTTTAGTCTCGAATGACAATCTAGTGCTGCTCAAAGGGCGTTTAAGGCCGAAGACCTTTTTCACAAACTCTAAATCTGCTTGAATCGCATCGAAGATCCCCACGTACGGGCCAGCGATCCTCTGCCCCGCTTTTCGCATTCGGTCAGGGAAATAAGAAGCCGAAAACTCATTGCCAAAAGGGCATGTATGCGGATATATTCCCGTACCTGAGACCGACTGATCTAAGTCGAATGTAAATTATCCATCGCAGATCAGCATTCGTAATGCAGTTGGGTTTCTCAGGCAGTTCATTGACCATTTGAGGATCTGGAGAAGTATCTCGCGGCAGACACCACTGTGGTATTGCATATTCATGCAACTGATCCTTGGTGAATGCAATTTATGAGGGCGGTTGCACTCACCGCCGCGCTCTGGACATTAAGTGCTGTCACAAGAGGCAGAAACCGAGAATCCATGGTCGATGATCTCCCCAGCGGAGCCAAAAGTGCGAAGCACTCGAAATTTTGATGTTCTGAGCGATATAGGACAAGCACAGCTACAACATTAATTCGAAAGCTAATCACACACCATCCTGATCCAACATATAGGCCAAGTGGCTCGTCGATTCGGCACCGTCGCCATAAAGTCGCAGCGGGATACAATATCGATGGTCGGCAGCCTCAGGTATAGGTCAAGCCTGAGTAGACATTAGTATACTCGAGCACTTGCATTAGTGCGGCCTGGAGAATCGGATGCTTCCGAAACCACTCTGTAACAGATAGCTCTGACCAGTAGTCGCAACGATCTTGTTCCTCAGATCAGGGAGCTATACCCACACACATGTCTGCATGTATAAACACTCCCGATTGCCCTTCGAATCTACAGGTATGTGCACATATTGCATTACAATCTTTTCAGACTTTATACTTTATATGTGGATATAAAATCACAATATACACATACACACACACACACGTATATACTCGAAGTAGACCTTCATATTCACGGCAAGCAAACGATGCACTTAAAACTACTCATCCTGGAAATTTCATTAGAAGCCGACCCCGTTCCTCTACATTGTTACTGAGAGTGCCACCCAGGATCGAGGAAGCTGGACACTACGACCCAGCATCTGGCATCAGGCACACTCCGAATAACCCTAATTGATCCCGCCCTTAAGTGTAGCAAAAACCCTTGTTCCTAAACCCCAGGGCCCTTTGCACTAGCTGAAGGAATGGTAGGAGTGATAACAACGGAGAGGAAGAAGCCCTTAGGCGGGGTCGAGGGTTCGGAAGGGTTTGGGGGGGTATAGAGTGTATATCTATATTACGGGAAGAAAAGAATTACTTTAAAAATTAATGGGTTGGGCTTTCGGGGCCTGTATATTGAAGCAAGAAGCCGACCCAGCGACCATCCCAATCTTGCCCGCAGCGTACAAGCTGCCAATAATCTCGTGCGGCAAAAGAACATGATGCTCAACCAGGCGTTCTCTTCGCCCGGATGCATCGGCATATACCTTGAGACTCGACCGCAACTATAACATGCGGCTGAACATGTCCCAAGCACTCAAAATTCGGTGCAATTCGAAAGCTATTGAGTTGTGTGCGGCTTTGAGCTTCGTCCTTAGATACCATACTTTGTACGAAGCACAAACAAATACGTGGATTACTGCAGATAGGCGTCGGGAAAGGCTTTGGCAAAACATTGAACCACCTCTGTCGCTCTGCCCATCGCGTAAGGGCCCTCATTTGCCCCCACGAATTTTGGTTGATAAAACCATGAGCGAGATCCAAGAAATCAGGCCTCAGACATACGAGCTACTGTAGCATTTGATGTTATATATAGGTCGCCAGATTGCAACCAAGATACGGCACAACAACCTGCGGAAGCCTTCGAAGCTTCTCAAGGGCATGGTTGAGTTCGTCCAGCGGAATCTGATGAATCATCACGTTCATACAACCATCAAATTTATAGCATCTACAAGCTTTAAAGCCTGCCCCGTGGAAAGGAGCCGTAGAACGTCGTCAGTAGTCTCCTGCACATAGTCTCGTGCCCACATATCCCATTGCAAAGGAAATCGCTGGATGGATCATGGCAGATCGAGCTCACAAGCGAGCAAGCGTTGGACGGACCGAGGGCCTTGTACAATTAGTTGTTTTGCACCTCCTGGGTTATTAGTTTTGGGCGCTTCTAGTTTTGCTTTTGGGTGCTAGGTCTTCTATAGTTTTGATTTTGGGCGCTAGGGATTCTATAGTTTTGGTTTCGGGTGCTAGGTCTTCTATTCTAACCACTTATACAATAGAGTCCAGTATATGTATTGTTGACGAACCCTGTCTGACAAGGCTTTGGAGTTCATCTGATATTTGGACTACGTATAAACTGGCTTTACAAACCGCAAGGTTTTGCAAAAGGCTCCTTGACATCGAAATTCAAGTTCAGCGTAGTCTACTGGGGGTCTAGACTACCATGGGTCTAGGGTTGCAGCGACTCGTATGCGTACAGGCCTATCGGCGGGTGTCGGGTTTGATATTGGGCTCTTGGTTACATGCAGACCATAGTAAGCTGGATCGCCAAGGATACATACATGAAGGATGCCATTGCATGTATTGGGAGGCAAGCCAAGATTTGGAAGCCAAGCTGAGGCATGGATGGAACATTGGCTTCCGCTGGATCGATGCAGTGGATCATGCGACATGTGCCTCGACACAAACATATAGCCATTTGCTTTTGCGACATCGTTCACACAGCTTCGTAGACCCCGGCCGGCAGCCACCCAGACACTCACATTTGCCCAGGATTCACATGGTACTAGCACTGTGGCTTGTACAGAGCACTGGCACACACACAGCACATGCCTGGACCGCACATATATGCTATAATGTAGGAGATGGCATAAACCTGAAGGTTGAGTTCGGCTGTGCAGCTGCCTGTGCATGCCCTGAAACAAACCGGTTCCCCGGCCCCGTAAAACTAACCGCCACTGTCATTGACAGTGCGACATGTCAGATCCTTGCAGTGTGCATACGGCCTACACTCGAACACGCTTTGTAGCAGCTGTTTCCGTCGTTCCATCTTCATCATCTTCCCAGGGCTCCTCCACTGCTTGGTCTTCACCATTCCAATCTTCATCCTGATACTCCTCCTCCTCTTCTTCCTGGCCCTGCTCCTTTGCTTGCTTCGCCTTCTCTGCCTTCTCGAGCTTTCTCTTTGCAGCTGCCTTGCCTAGGATTCCAATATAAGGTAGCCACATAGCGGTTCAACATCAGCAAAAAACACGGGGCTCGAAATCCGGTTAACTTGCGACGGGGAGCGACGCTCCTGACCCAGCCAAATCCCTTCGGCATCAAGAACTTGGCTTTGGAAGTCCTGCATTCAAAGTGAGAATTAGGGGTTCGTCCAGTCCTATACTTCAGGGTCAACATAAACAAGCAACATGGTTTCCTTGAGAGGGTCAGCTTTGTATGCTGCCATAGCTTCCAGGCACGTGGATAATGGGACCATGTTGAAGATCATCTTCTGGAGCCTTGGTTTAGATTGGCTGTCTTGCTGCTCGGTAAATCGACAAGTCGTGGTTCCAATCTTTGTTAAGGTTTAGGGGTAAGGGTTAATAGGGTTCAGGGATGTATAGGGTTTAAGGATCTATAGGGGCCTAGGGTTTAAATTAAGGTAAGTCTAGAGTCTAAACCGGCACAACAGCGAATAGCTAGATGCAAACATGTGTCTCGTCACGGATCTCGCCAGTGCGGGTGGCGATGAACCCAAGATGGCTCACCGCATTTTCCTGGTTGGCTAGGCCACAATTGCCCAGCCCACCTGCAACCGACACAGCCTTGTCCACAAGATCCCGCAGCCTCAAGGTACGTTGCTGATCGATGATCATGCAATGTCAAGATGGATATCGGAATCTCAACTGCAACATGGGTGGCGCTTGCAGGTCTTTGTTGAAGCTGCGCTGGTCGATTTGTTCTTGCGTCAACTCCTGTACACAAGCACTTCATGTGTGAGAAGTTTGCGGTATGCACGGACGACTTTAGTAATCGAGTGCCAGATCTAATTAATTGCCCACTATAGCTCCTTCTTGCCCTTGCCCTTCACATTCTTGCCCTTGCCTTTGCCACCCTTGTTCGAGCTGCCGGCCAATGCGGGCTGGCCCATTGCTGCAACCTTGCCTTGCAAAGTCTCCACCACAGCTGCTCGTTCAGCCCGATTGTTGCTGACTTGCCCGGTAGCTGTCGTCTTGTTCCCGACTCTGCTGATGCTTGCACCTTCAGATCAAGGTTCAGTGTATACTGGGACCCCGTATACATATGTGCACATGGCATGGAACATGTAGCCAGTTCAACCACCGAGGAACTTGACAGGTCCACGGAAGCGAAAACCTTGTATATGCGCATCTCGTCGTCATCCGATTGGGGGTGCTTGCGTCCTTGTTGGCCTTAGCTGAACGGCCAAATATGTGTGGGCTACGTATAGCCTTAAGGGCAGTCTGTATAAGATTGAGGCAGGCACTCTTGAGGAGATCCTCGATAAATCGCTTGCCTGCTGCCGTCTTTTCGTATTTTTCGCGGATCTCACATAGAGGTAATTCCTGGAATTTTTCTTTGGCCTTGTTCTCGGACAACCTTAGGAGATACGGCTCATGAGCAAGTACGTGAACCCCGACAAAGCCCACAATGCAAATTCAACTGCAGCCACAGGTAATGCAGCCACGAAGCTCCTCGTAATAAGGCTGCACCTCTATGGTTGCCAAGCCGTCTCTGTCCAGCATAAACGCCTTGAGGAACTCGAACCTGAGCTACGGGAGTCTGGATCAAACTGCAAAACACTCTCCCAAAAGCACACAGAGACAGTGCTGAATAGCAGCCGTCCCAGGGATCCAGCAGGGGTGGCAGCCCATTGTGCCACGAGCCCTTTACGAAGTCCTCGTGCAGCAGCTAACGAAAGTTCGAATTTTGACTAAACCACATGGGAGCTCATGCACCTATTAGCCGGCCTGCACCGTTGTTCATCCTACGTCTCAGCTTCTCGTTCAAGGCTTTGCGTTGCTGAAGTGGGATTTGGGAGGGCGACGACAGAGCCTGAGCAGGGACATATATAACTCAAGCCCACAGATATCAGGATGCACGCTGATTGTGTGGCTCGTCACTTGGCTGCCTGAACAGCCTCTCGCTCATCATCGGTCAGCAGTCTGGCCTGGGTGGATGTTCATTGGGTTTAGGGATTATAGGGTTTAGGGTTTGGGGTTTGGGGAATAGTGTATACTATAGGGTCTTCGGTTAAAGGTTTAGGAGTTGGCGTCTTGTAGATAAACGATTGGACCTGTTTAGGGTTAGGGGTTTGGGGGATGGTATATATAGGGTCTTCGGTTGAAGGTTTAGGATTTGGTGTCTTGTAGATAAACGGTTGGACCTGTTTAGGGTTAGGGGTTTGGGGGATGGTATACATAGGGTCTTCGGTTGAAGGTTTAGTTTCTGGGGTCTTGTAGATAAACGATTGGACCAGGTGTCTGGTCTGTGCGCGTGCAACTACACGTAAGTATAGACCCAGTTGTACATGTATTCACATACATACTTCAAATTTATTTAGTGCTACGATTTTCTAGTCTGGGCGTATATAAGCACACAAATTGAACCTGCAAGGACATGTATCCGTTTGGAGTTAAAGTTGCAACTTAGGCTCTCCCTCGGGATCCATCAGGGCGTCGATAGCAGTCACGAGCGGCTCCATCTGGATTGGCCCAGTGCCATCACTGACAGTCGAAATGCCTGTATCTTGGCGGAGAATGGACCTGGGAATTCGGCAACGGGTCACGGTTGTAAGTTGTTATACCAACAAGTACACTAGTGCATGCCACACAGAGAGCTCATGTAAACAATATTGTCGGGCGAGTGACTTCGGTGTGCTCGGGGTCGCGGAGGTGGTCGAAACTGCCAGCTGTATATAGTGACAATGTAGTGCATAGAGCTCAAATGCACACGATATTGGATATTAGTGCACAGATCACGTAGCATGTTTCACTTATCGGCAGTTATATAAGCACAATGCGGAGAACACATATATACACTAACATACACTAGAACTACATATATTGGGTTTAGGGCTTTTATAATGATCCGTCCTCCTCCGAAAGACACACGGCGATGCACTCGTCGGTCATCGGCATCCTCGGCCGCCCTTTTGGCGCCCCGTCCTTCACCGGCCCCCTTTGCGGCATCCTTGCCACCCAGGCCTGCAGCCGGCATCTCCTCGGCATGCGCCTGGCCTTTTCCAGAGCCTAGCTTGGCCTCCACCGTGGTGCTTGGGCTGGCTGCATGGCCCTTGCCCTTGGACTTGGCTCTCGTGGCAGGATTCACCGATTGACTCGGTGGAGTGCCAGTGTGCAACTCATCCACGTCGGTTGCAGCCTGCTTCGGCGGAGGTGTGTGGCAAACCAAAGCCAAAGTGGTCTCAGCAGCATTCGAATCACCCTCGGCGTTCGACACCGGGCTTCCTGTGTTCAGCCCTTTGGCTTTGCCACCCTTTGCTTTGCCACCCTTAGAAGCTTTGCCACCATCGCCCGTAGCCTTGCCACCCTTTGCATTCGAAGCTTTGCCACCATCGCCAGTAGCCTTGCCACCCTTTGCGCTCGAAGCTTTGCCACCATCGCCCGTAGCCTTGCCACCCTTAGCATTCGAAGCTTTGCCACCATCGCCCGTAGCCTTGCCCCCCTTTGCATTCGAAGCTTTGCCACCATCGCCCGTAGCCTTGCCACCCTTAGCATCCGAAGCTTTGCCACCATCGCACGTAGCCTTGCCACCCTTTGCATCCGAAGCTTTGCCACCATCGCCCGTAGCCTTGCCCCCCTTAGCATTCGAAGCTTTGCCACCATCGCCCGTAGCCTTGCCACCCTTAGCATCCGAAGCTTTGCCACCATCGCACGTAGCCTTGCCACCCTTAGCATTCGAAGCTTTGCCACCATCGCCCGTAGCCTTGCCCCCCTTTGCATTCGAAGCTTTGCCACCATCGCCCGTAGCCTTGCCACCCTTAGCATCCGAAGCTTTGCCACCATCGCACGAAGCCTTGCCACCCTTAGCATCCGAAGCTTTGCCACCATCGCACGTAGCCTTGCCACCCTTAGCATTCGAAGCTTTGCCACCATCGCCCGTAGCCTTGCCCCCCTTTGCATTCGAAGCTTTGCCACCATCGCCCGAAGCCTTGCCACCCTTTGCGTTCGAACCGGTAGCCTTGCCACCCTTTGTCGTCGACGGCTGGGTCGCTTCGCCGCCCTTGCTACCTTTTGTAGCAGCACTGCCTTTGCCGCTAGCGGGGCAACCTTTCAAACGCATGGCATTCTCTTCATACACATCGGGCGTCTTGCCGACGTATACATAGGTTCGAGGGGCGGTTTCGAGGGAAACCGATGCTGGCTCCTGCGGCACCTTTGCGACGCTGGTCGCACCGGTACCCTTGCCTTACCACGGCCCCCCATGGCTATGGACTCTACACACACCGGCTGTTCGGGATCTTGACACGCTGCATATCGAGTATATAATTTGTATTATGCATCTAATAGCGATACACGCTGATACACGCTGACCGGCCGTTCAAGCAGTCGAATACACGGGGATACACGCTGATACACGCTAGTGTGCTTCGTAAGATACATACAGTACACGTATATGTAGCACAACACAGGTCGATTCGAAGCCCTACAATCGCACACTCGGGCATGCTTTTGTACACTCCACTGCATACACTCGTGATTATGAGGGCCCTGCCGGTGACCTTGCCCGCTTCCGAGCTGCATCGACACCGACTAAGTTCTCCAAGCCGGAATCTTCAGAATCGTTATTGTCGGAGTCATCAATCACCATAGACAGCTCATCCACAGCCGGCGATTTGGATTTCTGTAGGTGCTCCTTCATGAGCCCAGCGACCTTACTTATAAGGGTGCGCCCGATTCTAGCTTATAACCTGCACTGCCTTGACTGCATGAAGAGTTGAGGGTGAAATTAGTTTAATTTGGGTTTTCGGTTTTGATCTTGGGATCTTTATGATCGAGACGAGGTGCTTTCATCGCGAAGGTTCCCGGATAAATACCCGACGCCGTGAGGTCTTTCCCACCGGACTGATCATGAGCTGACATGCATGTGCTTATATAAGTACTGCAACAGCGAAACATGGAGTCGCAGCCAAGGCACACGTTTATTATTGCCAAATTCATCCACGTATCCCCTGCTGATGTCCAGCTTCAAGAAGGACTGGATGCGCTGAAGTTGGTTCCTGACCGGTGGTTGGTTTATTCTGGGGCTTACATATGGGTTTAGGATTAAGGGTTGTGGGGCTTTACTCGTAATCGACGTTTTGTAGATATATGTAGTACGTATAGGTGTATAGTAGTAGTTGTCGTCGTAGCAGTAGAAGTAGAAGTAGAAATAGAAGTAGTAGTAGTAGTAGTAGTAGTAGTAGTAGTAGTAGTAGTAGTAGTAGTAGTTGTAGTAGTGGAAGTAACAGTAATAGTGATAGTAATAGTAATAGTAATAGTAATAGTAATAGTAAGAGTAATCGTAATAGTAATCGTAATAGTAATAGTAATAGTAATAGTACTAGTACTAGTACTAGTACTAGTACTAGTAATAGTAATAGTAATAGTAATAGTAATAGTAATAGTAATAGTAATAGTAATAGTAATAGTAATAGTAATAGTAATAGTAATAGTAATAATAATAGTAATAATAATAGTAATAGCAATAGCAATAGCAATAGCAATAGCAATAGCAATAGTAATAGTAATAGTAATAGTAATAGTAATAGTAATAGTAATAGTAATAGAAATAGTAATAGTAATAGTAATAGTAATAGTAATAGTAATAGTAATAGTAATAGTAATAGTAATAGTAATAGTAATAGTAATAGTAATAGTAATAGTAGTAGAATGGTAATAGTAGTAGAATGGTAATAGTAATAATATTTTTTGCCACCCGCCTAATAGTAATAGTAATAGTAATAGTAATAGTAATAGTAATAGTAATAGTAATAATAATAGCAGTAGTACTAGCAGTAGTAGTAGAAGTAGTAGTAGTAGTAGTAGTAGCAGTAGTAGTAGTAGCAGCAGTAGTTATAGTAGTAGGAAAAAGCAATATACGTAACATGTACGGTTTGTGACCAGTTTGCGGTTCCGGAGTTCGGTGCACGGGCTTAGATTATTGGGTTTAAAGGCACCCTGTTGCAGTGACCTCCAGGTCCTAAAACCAGCGCATGCATCGATCCCGAGCCCAAGAGTCGAAAGCAAAGGCACCAACCCCCAAATCCGAGTATAGCAAAGAGACCATTAAGCCCGGATGTTGGCGACGTGTGAATGTACTGCTTTGAAGTTCGAGTGCAAATGTCGGCATGCAAACTTCGGCATCGCAACCTTCCACACGAAGGATCATCAATCGTCCTCAAGGCAGCTCGCTTGACCGCACAAGTATATGCATGCCGCGCATTCCATGGTCGCGCCGGATCGATATGTCGACAAAGACGATGTGTGGAGTGAGCGATCATGATGAGTCACAATTGCGGTCACACGTAGCAGCATACATGCATGATCATTGCCTCCGAAGCAGATTAATTCGCCAGATGCCAGCACTGGCCGGTTGGAATCAATGATTCCAAACCGTCCATTTGTGTTTCCTCCCATTATCTCTTATCTATGCTGTGTCTATCCTAATATCATCGCCGGCATTCTCTTGTGTGCGTGCCTGCGCACATGCACGTATAACCAAACCTACACTGTTATTTGTCCCTTGATCTATGAGCCTACTTCCAACGTGAGCATGTCTTGTTCTGTGCGAATCCCCACAAACGTCGCCTGACTTGTCGAGCACGAGTGACAAAAAGAGCTAGGCTCATGTGCTCAAACACACACATATAAGAATGCATGCGAAAGCCCTCGCTTTTTGGGTCTCTCCCCATTTATGTCAATCTCACTTTTTTTTTCTCTCGCTCTCTCTCTCTCTCTCTCTCTCTCTCTCCCTCCCTCCTATCTCCCCCTGAATCTCATATGCCTCCGTCACCGTATCTCCCTGGAAGCCACTAAACCCGGCCGTCAAATCCTCAACGAGTACTATAGTGTTAGAGTAGTAGTCATAGTAGTAGAAGTAGTACTAGTAGTAGTAGAAAGTAATACTAGTAGTAGTAGTAGTCGTAGTAGAAGTAGTAGTAGTGGTAGTAGTAGTAGTAGTAGTACTAGTAGTGGTGGTAGTAGTAGGAGTAGTCGTACTAGAAGCAGCAGCAGAAGTAGCAGTAGTAGCAGTAGTAGTCGTCGTAGTAGTAGTAGTAGTAGGACGAGAAGTAGTAGCAGGAAGAGTAATAGTAGTAGTAGCAGTACTAGTAGCAGTAGCAGTAGCAGTAGCAGTAGCAGTAGTAGTAGTAATAGTAGTAGTAGTAGTAGCAGTAGTAGTAGTAGCACTAGTAGTAATATCACTAGTGGCAGTAGCAGCAGCAGTATCAGTAGCAGTAGCAGCCGCAGCGGCAGTCGTAGCTAGCGGTAGCAGCAGACGTTGCCGGAACACTATACAGAATGCAAATCCAGTGTTAGGAATTTGTAGTAGTCGTCGTCGTAGTAGAAACAGCAGTAGTAGTATTAGTAGCAGCAGCAGCAGCAATAGTGGTAAGTACTCGTATAGCAGTAATAGTAGTAGTAGTAGTAGTAGTAGTAGTAGTAGTAGTAGTAGTAGTAGTAGCAGCAGCAGCAGCAGAGCAGCAGTAATCAATGTTTCTGGCAATCTCAATACCCCGAAAAAGCCCTAAGCACTAAAGTCCTGAAACCCCGAAGTCCTCTAAAGCCCAAGTCCCAGAAAACTTAAAGCCCTAAATACTAAATCGTGTATGATATGTAACATCGACCGGATGCATGCATGTGCAGAGGCGTCGTGCCCAAAACCCAAAACATTATGGTTGCGCTTAAGCTCGTAGGTCACAATAACTTCTATAGTATTATTTGGGTTGCCTAATCATCCAGACCCCCGTGTACAACTACAACAAATCTAAACATCCGAAACCTTTAAACCTTGAAACCCTCAACACTATAGTTTATGCTTTGCTCTTTGGATCTTCATTTAGTACCTCACCTGCACCATCCAAGCCGGCCTCCGGTTTCCTGTGAGCTGCTCGTAGAGGTCCTTCAGAAACGGAGCTGTTCCCCACAGCGTAACCTGAGATGGAGGTTTGAACGGCTTTGGGGTTTGGGTTGTCGCCGATCTAGGGCTTTTCGGAATCGATGTTGGAGGTGAGTGGCGCATTTCCGCGAGGGAGCTCCCAGAGCACCAAGGCACAGATTGATACTCCGGGCTTTGTGTGCACGTAGCCGAGCCTTAATTGAGCATGCATGGTATGCTATCTCTTGACATAAATGAGAAGCCTACATAGCCGAGCTGCCTTGATAGCAGGATAATCAAATAGGACACTCCCGGAAGGGTTTTCAATGATGTAGTATGTCCCAGCCCTGTAGTGGTACTCCATCCTCAGATTGCACGCAACCGGTAACCAGTATTCGACGGCAACTACATATATGACTCGAATGCAGCTCGGTGGCAGATAGGCCACACGTCTCGCGATGCGGTTCGCCTTTTGCACTTTATCCAGCTTCTTGTTGCCTCGATATGAGCAATCAATATATGTATGGAAACAACGACTATTATTCTATCGAATGCAATGAAGATGCCTTTGATATTCAACCGTCTCCGTTTCGAACTTCCCCGGCTCCTTAATTAGGCCGCACTTACAAGGCTACCGTGTTGGCCTCGTGGAACTGATGATTACATGGAATGCCGCTAAAGCTCATAAATACCCAGCTGGAGCAAGGCACCGCATACCAAGCGATGCCACCTGGAAGCAATCTTCTGGCCTGGGATGGTGCATGGATGGACAATGTCGACTCGAGGCAAGCACTTAATTGACAATTTGCAGCGGTCGAAACGTGACTGGTTAGTACTTGATCTCGAGATTTATAGTCGAGAAGCACAATTCAAGAACACGAGAAAGCCGAAGGCCGACAATATATCCAATTTTCGGGAGTAGCTCACCTGAGATCATCAATTGAATTATTCTCTCGATCAGGTGATCATGCATGAACTGCTGAAATGCCGTAAGAGATTCGTCCAGCCCGTGGGCTTGCAACCCATAGAATTTCGCTGCCGAAGTCAGCAAATGTTGTCCTGTAATTAAAGCAATGTGCAAGCAATGAACACGGATTGAACGGGCCCACCAATATTGTCCTGTCCTGAGAAGACCTCGAGAAATTCAAGATCATCTGGCTTGGGCCCAAAACCTCAGCTTATCGAACGATATGAGAAGCATTGCA